CACAGGGCACGAAGACATTAGAAAAAATGTCAAGGCTGACTTTGGTATGTGTATTGTGTGAAGCTGAGCTAGCAACAAGTTACAGGCAGGAGGGAGATATCTCAGCTCTGTGTTAGAGACATAATGGCACAGCATGTGTTACTTATCAACCTGGACAACATTGATTGTCTGAACAGGTTGTTCAATAGTCTCTAGGAATCTGACTGTCTCTGCCTTCCAGCACTGGAGTTAGGACATGCAGTACATCGTGCCTTACACTTTGTGTGTGCTGAGTTTCGAACCCTGATCTGCATGTTTGCATAGCAAGCACTATATTAGCTGAGCAGTCTGCCAGCCCCTCCTTAACATTTTTAAGTTCTCCATATTTATTGCAGCATTGAAAGTTGTGGGTTCAGCTTAGATTTCTATCAACAAGTGGATAGATGTTAAATACACACACACACAAATACAATGGAGTGTTATTCAGATGCTAACAACAAAATTTCATGATTTTTGGGGAGAATGGAACTGGAAATTGTACAGTCAAAATAACCCAGACTTACAAAATAAATAAATGCCACCCATCCTACTCTCTTTTGTCTGTCCCCCTCACCCTCATAAAACGTGAAATAAAGAGAAGACTATTTGAAATAGGAAGGAGACTGTCCAGAGCTAGGGCAGGAGACAACAGAGAGGGGTGGCTTTGATCAAAGTACATGATGTATTTGAATGAAAGTATCGCTTGAAAACCATCACTTTGTATAATGAGAATGTTCTAATGCAAAATGTTAAATTGTATTTGTGATTACATCAAAGAATTAGGGACATTATATAATTATTAAGTGAGAGAACATAATTGTGTGAAATACTTTACCATAAAATACTAATGCAAATTAAAATGATGGGTACTCTTTCACTATTTCTGGGGTGCACACTCATGCACATGTATAAGAGAAAAGGAGAATTAATACCAGAATCTTGCCAGAGAGTAGTGAATCCCACATTCTAAAACATCAATACATTGTAGATAGCTTTGAGGCAGTATTGTCATTGGAACCAGAAACATCAATAATTCATCTGCCAGATGACACAGATTGATGAGTGTTTCTTTAAAAAATTGCCATATTTTGTAGTGATAAAATTATATATGATTGCAGTTCTACTTTTTTTTCAGGACATGAAGACATAAAAGTTTTATTTTTCTTTCTTGCTCTCCTTTACTTTTTTTTTCTTTTTTCTCTTTTCTTTTTTTTTTTTTTTTTTTTTGAGGGGGGGCTGTTAACATGACTTTTACCCTAGCATTTTTACCACAGTGTCAACTTGTAGAGTATCAATAATAAGAGAAAGGCATTTCATTTGTAGAATTCGGAAGACTTACTGTTATTTCATAGAAAGGAAATATGTAAAACTGTACTGTTGAAAAGGATTTGGTTAACTCATAAACTTTGACCATTGCAGGCAAAAACTATTGTGTGTTTTGTTTGTTTGTTAAAAGCAAATATAACTTATTTAGTCTTTTTTTGTTCTTGATAGAAATTATTTCCTCACTGAGGCCCTTCCATTGGTGATTAGGTCAGATAATGAGAGTACTGTTCCCTAAGGTGGAGAGCACTGGCGAAATCCGGATTCCACCCTTGTTTCCTTCAGCACAGATTCCAGAGGTGTATTAGTTAAAATAGGTGAATATTTTTGTTGTAAGTAGTTGATGGATCTTTCCTTTGAAGTCTTGAAACCTTAAAAAATTCTAAAACCTAGCCAGTGATGCCAGGGATATTTTAGGCTATCTAGAGAAGCCAGTCATACTGCTGTCATGGAACCCAGTTTTGAGAGTGGGAGGGTGAGATATGCAGGGTGAGACACCCACCCCTAACACTCAGAATGTAGTCATATTTCCATATGCCCCCTTTAAGCAAACATAGCAGAACTTGAGCTTTTCTAAATCGTAAGGAAACCATCCGTGTGTCATGTTTAGGGTTTTAAAATTGTAGATGATGTCTATAAATTGCTTGTTTTAAAGAATAAGCTCTGTATTATTAGTTGGCACTTCTCCTTGGAGCACTCATGCTTCATGTTTCTACTTATCTCAGCACAAGCATGAACAGGTTTGGTGTTGTACTGTCTTTTCAAGGACTTTGTTATATAAAATTCTTTGAAGACTGGGATAGCATCTCCCTTCTGGCTAGAGGGCAGATTTACTTCCTGTTCATAAAAATAGAGACTTTTTTTTTTCTCTCCAGGGTAAAGGTTGGGAAGGTTTGCTAGCAGTTCCTTTAAAAGATTGTTGTTTCCACAGCAGGAAAGCTGGTTCAGTTAGTAAAGCCATTGAAGGAGCATAAGGACTTGGGTTCCACTCTCCAGCACCTAGTAAAATCCGGGTGTAGCCCAGCACAACTATATCCCAGTGTTGGTGGCTGGGGTGTGGGACAGTCTCTGGAGTTGCAGCCAGCTAGCTGAATTATGAGCTCAAGGTTCAGTGAGAGGCACTCTAGACTCCACATACACCCATAAGCAAAAGTGCAGTTTCCTAAGTACTGGATTCTTGAGCTATCCCCACTACCTACAGGCCATTCACTGTCACAGGAACCCACTGTTGGCACAGCATCCTCTTGGGTCACCTGGTTCCTACTGGGATGTTAATGGCAGCTTGAAGTTCTCACTGTGAGACATATCTCTGGGCATTCCTTCTACTCTAAGAAATTATGATAGTTTGTAAGTAGATTCAAACACTTGTATTTTAGCAACTTTTTTTTTTTTTTTTAGCTGATAGATGCTGGGCTAATTATGTGACTGGACCCCCTCCATCACTTTGTAATTTGAAGAAATTCAAAGTGTGTTGTAAATATTTGTGTTTGATGAGAAAAGCATGTGTGAAACTGTCCTAGGAACTCAGAAAAATAACAGTTAACAGTTTCCAAGAGCAGTTCCCTCTGCCCTGCTCAGAGGTTCTGGTGGGAAGATTCTTTTTTTGCTAAAAGATCACCGTTCTTAAATAGTTAAGACAGCTTACATTTATATGTATCTAATAGTTAAATTTCAGAAGCTTAACAGAACTTGTAGATAACATTGAACCTTAGACTGAACAGTTGGAGCCTTTTATATCAGTCCTATAAATTTCAAACAGGTTTCTATAAGGCAAACACTAGTGCATTGAGCTGAGTGTGTTCCCTTTCTGCTTCAGAATTAAGACTAAGAACTAAACCTGTCTGTACAGTTCTTAACTCTTTGGAGCAAAATGATGGGGTAGAACAGTAGCTTCCCAATTAATTTTTATTTGTTTTTTCAATTTAATAAGATTATTAGTCTCCTTATGGAAATGTACTCATACTTTCGGGCAGAATTACCAGTTAAATTTATTTGCATCTAAATAAGATTGATTTCAAGTTAAAATTAATTTCAGTGTTTGCCTTTTTGCTGTAACAAAACCATCTCATTATAAAACCTAACAATTAACCCAATAATTAGCAGAAGTTCTTTTTCATACAATCAGCTTGTCATTCTCTGCTGACCTCAATGCTCTGCTTACTCTTCAGCCAGAAGAGTAGCTGCACTCGCTCCTTCCATCCCTTCTATTTCATTTGAGTTATATTTTCCCTTTGCTCTGGTAGGCACAAAATACTTCACTGAGGTTTTTGCTTGTTTGCTTGTTTTTTCCTAAAAGCAAGCTAAGCTGCCTTTCTTCCTGCTTCTGTAGCTTCCATCTCTGAGGAGTTCATAGGGAGCCACTGCTAGGGTTCTCCTTGAGAGGGAGGGAGGAGACCCTGTTTCTCCCTCATGGCAGGCACCTCTGTGGCTTAGGGCAAGGGCAGTCTTTTCTTACAGAAGTACATCCCATGGAGTTTTTCTTCAGGTACAGTGGTGTAAGGGTGAGCCTTCTGCCTGGAAGCTCCGCTGGCCTCCCTTCCCTGTGCCCTCTGGGGAGCTGAATGCCACTGTTCCACTCCTCTCTTCATGTTATCTTTCAGTCTCCGCACCACATCCATCACCGTTCGTACTTCTGTCACTGTCACAGGAGATTCCTTTCTCCTGTTTTTGACCTTTAGAAATAAAATCACACAACACTATTTTCATGCAGTTTTGTGTTTGAAGGATTTCTCTGTCATGTTAAATGCAGAGTGCCTTCCACTCCAGTGTGCTGTGAGCGTGGAAATGAACACTGTGTTAATCAGCTTGTGTGGAGCAGCTAACTTGACCTTACTGGGTTGTTCTTTCCCTGCCTTTGAGTAGTAAAGCAAGTTTCCTAGAATATGTCCTGTCTTCATCATTCGTCTTCTGGGTTGCTGGCTTCAGCAACCAGTCTAGGAGATCAGACCTGTGGGCAGCTTGTTGCTCTGTCATTCTTCAGATGGCGAAGTGTCCAGCCACTCTGTCTGCCTTCGTTCGTTAGAAGGCAGAGTGCCTTCCACTTCTTTGGTTGGCTGTCTGTTTTTAATAATGAACAGCATTTTTTAGCTTTATTTGCAGTGACGATTAAGGAACTATATTCCTTCCTTCTTTCCCTCCCTCCCTCCCTCCCTCCCTTCTTTCCCTCCCTCCCTCCCTCCCTCCCT